GATGGATTCAATTAGTCAGCATTTGACAACAGTCTTAAGGCATTGACTATCAAAATATCTCTTATTGTAGATGGAGTGGTGTTTCTTTCTTGCATAATATTGGTTGGCCTGTTCGCTTTACAGCATTCTGGAACCCACAGGGTTGGATTTTTGTTTGCACCAATCGTGCTCATCTGGTTGATATCAATTATGATCATTGGGTTGTACAACACTATCATTTGGAATCCCAAAATTGTGTCTGCTCTTTCGCCCTATTATATCGTCAAGTTTTTTAGGGAAACAGGAAAAGATGGTTGGATTTCTCTTGGAGGTATTCTCCTCTCAGTTGCAGGTATATGAAGTCTATTATCTCTTAACTCTGTAATTATTTAGGCATTATAAATAAACAAACTCTCAAACATGGCCTCTGACAAGTAACCACTCCAATTTTGAGAGTGAACATCTAGACACCTCAACTCGTCTATACTGTGTCAGTTGAACACTCCAAACTACAAAATGATCATCGAGACACCTCCAAAAATTTTGTGCCACGTCAACGTAGGGTGTCCATGACCATGAGACATAATAGGGACGAGTTGGAGTGTTTAGTTGTCACTTGAGACCAAGTTAAGATGTCTAGATGTGCACTTTCAAAGTTGGAGTGCTTACTTGCCAGTTGAGGCCAAGTTTGAGTGTCTGTTTATGTTATTTATACAAGAAATCATAGTAAACTTTGAGAACTCAAAGCAGTTGTTTGTGCAGACACTTTTTGAATGACGATGAGATAAAGATTTACTAGAATTTTGGATCTGATTTCCAATTATTTTCATTTATCAGGTACTGAAGCTATGTATGCAGATCTTGGTCATTTCTCTGCCTTCTCCATGAGGGTAAGTCAAACTATTTGTTGGAGCGGACTAGATTAAACTGTGGATCGTGAAAACTTTGTGCTCGTACTCGTCTATAAGCTGAGTGTCCTGGTGTCTGGCAGATTATATTGTCCGTAGTTGTCATTTTTTCTGCATCATGTTGTTCAACGTCCTAGTTAACTTGTTGGATTCCTGGAACTTACACCATGTCTATCTGAATTCGTTTTGTCCTATGCAGATTACATTTGCATTTGTGGTGTATCCGTGCTTGGTGATACAGTACATGGGTCAAGCTGCTTTTCTGTCAAAAAATCTAGATTCCATTCCAAATAGCTTCTATAGCTCAATACCTGGTTGGTTTTTCTTTTTCTTTTCTCTTTGTAACAGCTTAATGTTTTTATGATAAGTGATTCAGTCCTAACTGCTGGTCTATGCTATCCATGCAGATGGTGTATACTGGCCTGTTTTTGTTATTGCAACCCTTGCAGCCATAGTAGGCAGCCAATCTATCATCACAGCCACATTCTCAATCGTCAAGCAATGTAATTCACTAGGTTGCTTCCCGCGGGTCAAGATTGTCCACACCTCAAAGCATAAAGGGCAGATCTATGTACCAGAAATAAATTGGATCCTGATGATTCTCACTCTTGTTGTGGCTATTGGGTTCCAAGATACAACTTTGATTGGAAATGCATACGGTAAGCCTTCTTGTGTGCTAAAAATGTTTTATTTGGTCTAAAGTATAAACATCCCTCTATGAGACTTTAAATATCAAGCAACTCTCTCGACCAATTTTCTCTACAGAATCTGATTTGGTTTACATGATTCTGTTCTTCTAAATGCTGCTCCTTTTCTTAGTGTCTTCCCAATTTTCTTTTTTCTTCAAGCTTGTGTTGGATGATTTATATATGTCCAATAAAGAAGATCTCTTGCAAAAAGAGAATAACAATTAAACAGAAACATAAATGGTGAACAAGGAGGATTCTCTAATTGGATGACATTTTAAAAAAAAAACAGCCCGGTGCACTAAGCTCCCGCTATGTGTGGGGATCAGGGAAGGGACGGACCACAAGGGTCTACTGTATGCAATCTTACTATGCAATTTTCAAGAGGTTGTTTCCATAGTTCGAACCCGTGACCTCTTGATCACATGGCAACAATAACTTCACCAGCTACGCTAAGGCTCCCTACCTTTAATTGGATGACATGGAGAAGTTAAATATTCCTTGTGTACAAGGGCTTTTTTCATCTACCTTACTGCAGTTAATAAAGTCCAGCTTGCCTTTTATAGTTGTATTTTTTTTCTTTCTAAATTCGAGTCATTCTATAACTCTTGAATTAAACTTTCTTATAAACGTTTTTCTTTTCAGGGCTAGCTTGCATGACAGTTATGTTTATCACAACATTCCTCATGACACTTGTTATAATCTTTGTGTGGCAAAGAAGTTTAGTATTTGCTGCTGCTTTTCTCCTGTTCTTCTGGTTCATCGAAGGTCTCTACCTATCTTCCGCAGCCATTAAGGCTCCACAAGGAGGATGGGTATCCCTTTTGCTCTCTTTTATCCTCTTAGCCGTCATGCTTGTGTGGCACTATGGAACTCGCAAGAAGTACAAATATGACCTGCACAACAAAGTTCCATTGAAATGGATCCTTGGCTTGGGTCCGAGCCTTGGTATTGTCCGCGTCCCAGGGATAGGGCTAATATACTCCGAACTGGTAACAGGAGTTCCACCTATCTTCTCTCACTTTGTCACAAATCTCCCTGCGTTTCATAACGTAGTGGTGTTTATATGTGTCAAATCTGTTCCTGTACCTTATGTCTCATCCGATGAACGTTTCCTCATTGGTCGTGTTGGCCCAAAACCATATCGCATGTATCGTTGCATTGTTCGATATGGTTACAAGGACGCACAGCAAGATACTGGGAACTTTGAGGACCTTCTCATCCAAAGTCTAGCAGAGTTCATCCAAATGGAATCTGTGGAACCACAATTATCGAGCCCCAATAGTTCATCACTTGATGGTAGGATGGCAGTTATAAGCACAAATCTACAGACACACTCACCATTTATCATAGATGATGAGGATTTTGAAACATGTTCCACCATTCAAAGCAGTAAGTCACTGACACTTCAAAGTGTAAGATCTTCTTACGATGATGGGAACCATGAAAACAGGAAACGACGAGTCAGGTTCAACTTACCAGAGAACTCTGGCATGGATCCTGAAGTTCGGGACGAGCTTATAGATTTGGTTCAGGCAAAGGAGGCAGGGGTTGCATATATAATGGGACACTCATACGTGAAGGCACGTAGATCGTCTTCTTGCTGGAAGAAATTTGTCATTGACGTTGCATATTCATTTCTGCGCAAGAACTGCAGAGCTTCTGCTGTGGCACTCAACATTCCTCACATTAGTCTTATTGAAGTTGGCATGATATACTATGTCTAGAGAGAGGCTTGAAACCAAGAGAACGTCGAACGCCTTCATCGGAGTTGCCTGCAGAATTCTCTTTTCACAGGTAGATGAACTTTTTTTTTTGAATATTTTTGTCCCAAATACCAAGTCTTGCTCACCACTAATCTTTGTATTGTTAGTATATATTTGTTATCTCAACTCTTTTCACATTTGACCTGTATTTATTTGTGTATTTAACAGTTAGAGACAGTAGTTGTAATTTTAATAGGTGATTTAAGCTATGATTGAAATAGCTATATAGACTTTTGTAATCTAAAATTTTGAATTTTACCTTTTTTAAAAAATATTGTCAATTATTTATTAACATTAGTGGATATAATAACGCTTAGGATCAGACAAGTTATAGTTTGCACCTCAAATTTCCAAATGCAATTGATTGATATATTTGTTTGAATTATGAGTAACTTGTTTTATAATTGTCATAGTCTATCCTATACACAAATTATCAATTTTGAACCATTAGTTCCAAGGGCAAGTTGATCTTTTACCACCTTTATGTATGCGTTTCAATTTATTTGTCTGATTTTGACTTGACACGAAGTTTAAGAAAACATTTTTTTTTTTGAATTTTGTGATATTAAATTAAAGATATGTAGAATATACCAAAATATCTTTTATTTATTCTTGTGGCGTTAAACATGTCAAGTAGAAAATTGAAATTAAGACGCAGCCAAAAAGGGAGAAGACAATTCTTTTTGAAACGTATAAAAGGAAAGTAAGACAAACAAATTGAAACGGAAGATATATATACTAACCTTAATAAATCAAGTTTTAGCACACACTATAGAAAGATCGTTACAACTTATAATCAACCTACATCAGTATGATACATACCATAAAAAGATTTTTCGTAAAATTTAAGGAACACTCCCTCAGTATATTTTTACTTGTTCAGTATTGACTTCGCCATTTTTGTTTTTTTTTTTACTTCTTTTTCCTATTTTGGATAGGAGGTGGGAGAGAACTAATCAATTTTCAAGTTCCAATTCACATAGAACCAATTTGAAGTCCAAAACTCAAAACTTTAAAAGAGTACTATTATCCAAAACTCAGAACTTGATACAAAGTGCAACATTTTCTCAAACAAGTGCAGCTTTTACAAGAATGTTTACATCCAGCATCAACGAGTAGACGAGGAAGGAAACCGAGAAGTGGAGGGAACTTCCCCCCCCCCCCCCCCCACC